CATTAAATTAGTCACTAGGTAGTCATACTTATTACCAATGATCGTTCAGTTCACTCTGGTTTCCAGTGATGTCAATGTTTTCGATTCAAAAAAAGGTAAAAATAACTCAGAAATAATAAATAGAGTTAAAATTAGTGTATCACAATCGTCGCATATAGAAAAAAAATACATGTCTTTATGTTTCAAACAAAACGACAGTATAATATTGATATCATAAACCGATCGATCAATGCCAGACCATCATTGAAAGCCTAGAAACATTGAACGGTCGTTTCGTCATAGTATGGGACTAATCAACAGTGCACACCTACGATCTCGTACGCGGGATTCGATCACAGGAACTTCGATCTCCCAAACCAACGATTACCCTGTAGACCACTGAACCGGCATCCAACGGTGTTGACGTTTAACTTCATAACATTGCGCGACCATCTTTATTTATTTATTTAAACACATAAAAACTGGTACAAAGAGGCACCAAATACATATGCAACACATAAATCATTCGATTTATGTGACGGCTAGAATATTGCTCGGGTGCCCGAACTGAAGCAGGTGGTTTTCTTAAGGGACTACACCCGGAGCCTTCGACCTAAAGATCTGATCCACAAGGCAGTGGAGCAACGTCAGGATGCGCAGTCCCATGGTAGTTGGTGACGACAAGTTCATACGCCATTTGTTCCTTCAGGATACTGGAGCCCATATGGACCACTGGTTTGGAATCAGGTACTTCCAACTGCGCTAGGTAGACTCTCCGTGTCCACGAACCCGGTTAAAGCGCCGGATATTCGCTTTTTGTCCTCTCAATTTCGTAAACAACAGTAATGCCGCAAGAAGGTAGTGATTAGGAATTCCCTGGTAGTGGTTGTATACGCGTGGCCATGTGAGGGCATTTCGAGAGAGAAAGAGTGGAGTCTCCCCACTCTCGACCGTACCAGGGCATGTGGGGGCTTGGCGGCCTCACAGCTACCATCTTCTACTGTACTGAGGTAGATACCTGTCTCTACCCGACAAAGATGAGCTCCAATGGTTATGGCCTCCGAGAATTACCTCTCGAAGCTAGTCACCAATGCTTCCAGTTTTTCAATGGTGGTCTAACATCAATTAATTCATGTGAAAACTCAACAGTTTTTACAACCGTTTACTGACAACATAATGTGTTAAGTGGAAACAAGATTGAAAGATTCAGACAATAAAAATTAAGTATAAAAAGTAGAAAACATAAAATATAAAACCTGTAACATTTAAATATGAAATGACTAGAACGGAAATATTCAACTTTATTACACTTTACAAGAACAATGACTATTAGGCACACAAGACTGTATCATATTATAAACCCTTAGTCTCACTTTAAAACGTACAACAATAAAAGTTTAAATGGATGAAAATGTTTAAAAATGTAGTAAATTTTTCGTCACATTTGTGCAAAACGTTGTTTAACTAATTGAATTCACACGTTGTTGTTGCCTTACAGATAGATGATAGATAACAAAACAAAAATTGAAATTTTGTATTGATATTTGACAGTGGTTATGTGGTCAGAATTTACAACCATCTTTGATTATACATCATAACACACTCGTGATTGTTAAGATTTATTTGAGACTAACATATAATATGGTGTATTTTTTCTTTCCTCACAAGAATCATGAGAAATATCATTTATAACCATTTTTAATGGTCGGTAATGCTTTATTCTGAAAGAATTCCAACAGAATATTAGTTAAATACAAGGAATATTTAAACTTCAAGCAAGAATTCAAAATTATTTCACGTTAGAAAAAAACTCCCTTTCTTAATGATCGATTCACAAGACCATACATAATTTGTTGTTTAAGTTTCTTTACGATTGGGTACTTTGAGTTAGTGAAGAATAAGAAATTCTATAAAACTATATTTTTGGTCTTTATTTGTATCGAATTATTCAGTTGTACTATAATGCTAGGATGGTGTCGAATTATCTAGTTTTTTTTCTTTCTACTAAACCATAGTTCTAATGAATAAAACAATTCCTCTGTGGCTTCTCTGCAATTCCTATTCCTATTACTACTATGTGATCGGTTACTTTCACTTCTAGTTTGCTACTTTGTTATATGGTATATAGTAACTTATTCTCAGCATTTAATTTTATTATTACTATAACCATATATCACCTACAAAAGTCAATGAAGCATATAAGAGCACAAGATTTTGGCTTTTAACAAGGACATCATTCATAACTATTTGTAAACGATACAGAATCAGTCAGTCAGTCAGTAACAACGTAGAACTTCGTACGTACGTACATCAGTTCGAGTTGCCACACCACATAAGCACAGAGATGCAGTTGTCGATTCAAATCCCGTAGTGGTAGAGGTAATAAGAGTATAAGCAGTAATCGGAAAGATTAGGGTTTGGAGATGTTATTCAAGGAGTATAATCCAGTGAAATAAATTTGGAAAGAGGAAAAAAGGGACATGAAGAATTCAGAAGATTAGAATTTGGGAGAACACAGAGAGTGGATGCACCTGCGCCATTGCAAACGATTTTGAGCTATGTCATTAAGGGTCTCTGACCATCGGTTGCTATCATCTCGCGGTCCCCAACCAGGTAGTCTGCACCTACCAACATGACTCAGTCCACTTGTCAGTGACTTCATGGACTTGTGCCATGTTTTGGTCTGGCCGCCCCTAACTTTCTTCCAACCTACTCCTATACCACTGAACATAGCACGTCGAGGCAGTCGGTCGTTGGACATACGTAACACGTGTCCCAGCCACCTCAACTGATGAAGTTTCACTACTTCATCAATTGATTTGCTATCCTTACCTAGTACCCGTTTCCTAACAACTGTGTTACTTACTCGATGGTCCCAGGATATACGAGCAATGTTTCGAAGACACCTATGATCGAATACTAGTAGCCTACGAATATCCTCTACTCTTACCGGCCATGTTTCACTGCCATAAAGAAGGACGGAACGAACTGCTGCGCAGTAAACCCGTCCTTTGGTTGATAGACGGATATCTCGCCTACACCATAAATGACGCAAGTTGGCAAAAGCTAGTCGAGCCTTCTGTATCCGTGCTGAGATTTCGTCACACACTAAACCACAAGGGCTGATGAGACTTCCAAGATAAGTGAAGCGGTCGACACACTCAACTACTTCACTCCCTATCACTAGTTCGGGTGTCGATGTAACCCAATCCTGAAGCAACATTTTGCATTTCGAGGGAGAGAATCGTATCTCGAACATGCTTGCATTGTTGCTTAGAGTGGTCAGAAGACTCTGCATTTTGTAAGCGTCTTCACCAAATAAAACTATGTCATCTGTATATTCTAAGTCAACAAGTGAACCTCCCGGTAGAAGTTCAACCCCTGGAAATTTAGATGAGGAGAGTGTTATCTCTAAAAGTACGTCGACGACAAAGTTGAACAAGAATGGGGAGAGTGGACAGCCCTGACGAACACCACTTGAGGTGATTAATTCTGATGACAGTTCGCCATAAGCTCTTACTCTACCAGTTGTGTTCGAGTAGAGAGCCTTTATAAGGTTAAAGTACTTCTTTGGTACTCCTTTCAGTGACAAACACTGCCATAGAACCTCACGATCAACAGAGTCGAATTCCGCCTTAAGGTCGAGAAATACTACCATTGTGGGGCGTCTATGATACAGAATAAAACAAATGAAAATCGTGTTACGAATGTGTGATGAATATGGGATCTTCTGTCTAATGTGTAAATCAGTATTAAAACAAAATCCCAAGTTCTTCGAAAATAACTCAAGATAAACAAATAGTGTTAGCTATTACGGAGAGTGATTAAGTGTTGGTATATCTTAGGGAGGTACACAAATATATGTTAGTTTTTAACAGGAAGTGTTAAAACTCAGCCTTTATAAGTTGGAAAGAACGATTATTTTTTTCAAATATAACTTTTATTAACAATGATTGAATAATGGTCAATTTATATATCGGACCGACTAAAGTTGGGGAATCTCGGCTACCGAATTTCAACTCAATGGCCGGAAAATATCATGTGTACTATGAAAGCTAACTAGTCGTGGATCAAAATTCATATCGGGTCCGTGAGTGTATACCATTAAGAAGTCCCAGACTAAGGTTAAACGTATATTTGGTCCCCTATAATTTTATATACTTCACCAGATGATCCTAGTTCTTGATGAAAACTACCCCTTATATTATTACAGTCAAACATTATTTAGAAACTTGCTATCGCATAGTTAGACCATTTACAGTAATTCCATAACACTATTGACGTGACCGACTTAAATCTGTTAGGAAGAAGTTTAAAAAATTGTAGAAATCAGACAACTATTGAACAGGGTGAAACTAGTTTGCAAATTTTCTATTACTAAACAGCTAATTCAAGTTATTTTATATCATCGCAATTGTAAGATCACTTTTGGCTGATTAACTATTACAAAATATTTTAACGTTTTTAACGTACAGTTATTCGAGAATTTTTTTGTTTGATTATATTTTCCTTGAAAAAGCTTGGACCAGATTGTCAGGCGAAACGTTGGATTTACTTCAAATTCTTCCGCTGAGATTTTACAAATACATTCTTCCTCTTTAATGTCTCATATTAACTCAGCGCCCAAATATTGTGAAACTATTCGTCCAAATTTAGACGAAAGTTCTTATGTACAGTTACTTGGCTATAAATCGATTTCAGATTTCCTAGTCTTCTGTACTTATAGAAATTTATTCTTCATGGAGAGCTGTTATCTTGCACTTTATGCATGTAATCATGTAAGGTCTTGAATCTGACGATACGGACTAATACTAAGTATGCAAGGTATCCGGGCTGGATTTCCTAGTATTTTGATTGGATAAATTTGGAGTGAGCGATCGATCGCCGGAATATACAATATCTTATAGTCAGTGGAAAGTATTATTGGAGTAGGTGAAAATAACAATCTAATTACTGAGTGATTAATATACTTTTTTTGTATTTCAAAAGAATAGATAAATCATTTATGTGAATAAACTTACATAAGCAGGAGATGATCCTGATACTCCAACAGCTGCATTAAATAAAGATTCCGGGATAGCTTCAAATACAGGAAAGATTGATGAACATAAGGCAGAAATCAAATTAATATCTTCATCAGTAACAGAAGATGTATGTGCATACACTGCAGTACCAACACCGACCAGACACGGTGTATTAGGCATAATACGGATAATTCGAGTAGATTTCGGCACAGCCTATAAAGTATATCAATATAACCAGATTCATAAGATGTAATATAAAGAAAAGGTATTTTAGGAGTTGAAATCATTTATTTAAAAATATATATATAACTTTGTCACTAACTGTAATATTTAGAACAATCATGAAAAATGTTACTTGAATTAATATTTTACTGTACAAAACAATTTAGAATTCCAGATAATTAAATCTTTCATTCAACCACTCTTACATAACTACTAAACACAGATATTAAAGTTGGTAATAAACACCGTTTATAAGTGTAAAACAAAACGAAAAAAATGAAATAGAAATAAATGACAAAACGTAATAAGAAAAACAAGTACATTTTTCACACTATTTTTAGAGAAAAGAGGAAAAACTTTTTTTCGTTAGATTTCACGATAAAAAAACTGGGTTAAATAAAATTGGCTGTTAAGAGCTATGTTAAAAAATAATTAACTAACAAGAAACAATACAGCTTTAAATTAGAAGAGGGAATGCTAGGACAGTGTAGTTGTCAGCAGTAAGTATCCGATAAACATGGATAAACAAGATTACTATCGTACGATTAATTTTATAGATTTAAATCATGAGTCAGTTGAAGCTAGACCACCACTGAAAACCTGGAAGCACTGGACGGCCGTTTCGTCCTAGTATGGGACTCCTCAGCAGCGCGCATCCACGATCCCGCACCACGCGGGGCCCGAACCCCGGACCTACTGGCTTCGCGCGCGAGCACTTAACCATTAGACCACTGAGCCGGCATCCAACGGTGTTAATGTCTAACTTCAACCAATCCACGAAGTTGCACCACCATATACCATTGTCTTCAGTGAGCTGATATCTCACAACAGATGTGGTGGTGCGGGATCGTGGATGCGCGCTGCTGAGGAGTCCCATACTAGGACGAAACGGCCGTCCAGTGCTTCCAGGTTTTCAATGGTGGTATAGCTTCAACTGACTCATGATTTAAATCTGTGAAAATTTCTAAAATCTCCACAAACCCCTTCTGATTAATTTTATAACATTTATTTCTACCCTTCATCAATTATTTGTGATCTGATGAGTAACTGATTCACACTATTTTAACTGATTATTCGAAATATGAATAAATACTTTAATTCTGTAATTTGTTTAGTCAGTTGACTAATGGTTCTGTTTTTTTTTATAATCCACTCATTTTGAATTTCGGGATTGATTGAGTTCATAAATGACGAGTTAGAAACACGCGCTTGCAAGATCGGACGAGAACCGGTGCTTTCAACGTGGTATGGTCGCCGCCACGCACTTGCAATGGTTTTATTAAATCGATTGTACCATCATAAATACGACAAATAAGTTTATCAGATTCACCGGTATAAAATCAAGTTGAAGAAAGTCACTATACGGATAAAGGGAATTACAGCTTTTGACGGCAGAATCATTGCAAATTTATCAGTTTTATGCTGACGCATTTGGTATCTTTAATGATATCTTTTGACAGACCTGAATAATTATTCAGAAATTATGTTACCTCGAGATAGGTATATATATATGCAAAGATAAAGACCAAGAACTTTCGATGTAAATATGATGCGCTACAGGCAAGACGATATTTTAAGACTTTTCTGAAATAAAAGACATGTAACGATCTTAACATTCAACAATCTGATGAAAATTTGAACAAGTATTAGTTGAGATATTACGACAAAGGATACCTAGCCATTACTTGTTTTCGACATGTAAGAATATGGGTAGTTCTGAAGTAAAAAAAAATAAAAGAGCTAAAGTAAGTGAAAGATTTATAACCACATTAGCCACTTAGTTTATTAAACTTAGCCATTCCGAATATTATTAGACACTCTCCCTTCTCCATGAATAACTAAAAAAGATAGACAGCTGTAAGTCAAGGGTTTCTTCAAAAGATCTAAGTTTGTGCCAGGTACGGTTTTTTAAAACTGTGAGTTGATAACAATATGTCCTCAACATATGTAAGATTTGGCGATAATAATTATTGAGTCTTACTATTCTTAAGGAAATTTCAAATGTGATTCTTGGCTGATTTAATGAACATAATACCGATTGAATGTTGGTGAATATGATTTAGTTTTTCCTATTTTACGGTGAAATTTTATTGATTACCTTCCCAACATGACGAATGTATCTGTTAAGTTGAAAAATAATAGTGTAAGCTGTGATAATCATCAGATAGTGGATAATAATATACTCCCATGCTATGCACTTTAAAATATCTAACAAAGAGCCTTAATGATTATGTAGTGTATGCTACTTATGTCGACCGACATAAGCAGTATGTAACACCAATCGAAAGTGGAAAACCTAGCGGCATAAGGAGTGACTTGAAGAGAACAGGAACGGAATAAAAAGGAATTATGAATCAGAAGAATCGTACAGAATATGAAAAACAAATAATGGAAATTTGTCAATGAACTGTTTAATGTATGGTTTTCATATTTTACCAAAACATTCTGTAATTTTATATTAGAATATAGTTGGTCGTTCCCCCCTCATCAACTATATTCTCGTCCATAACAACTATACAGATTTATAAATTGGAAATTATATTAATTCATTTATTGTTTTGACTTTCATATACTTTATTCAAAAAATCAATAGTTTTCTAATATGATGTAAATGATGCATCATGAATAACATATAATGTATGTTATAAACAATAATCACATGGAAATTTTTCATTAATACAACTAAATATCGGGAAAATTTTTTTTTGGTTATTACTATCATTATTATAACACATCATTAAAGTACATTTATTATGTAATAATATTTTTTTATTTTTTTTAGAAAAAATAATTATTACTAACTATCATTTTATTAATTACATGTTAAAGATGAATGCGAACTAAATCTAATTAATGGGTACCTTTTTCATAGCTAGACACATTTATAAGAAAACTATTTGATCGAGTGGCTTTCCCATAGTATTCTGAACATTGTATATATATATATATATATATATATATATCAGGGCTTGGGACCAGCAGTAGCCCCCGAAGGGACTCCAGGCGGAGTTATATACATGATATTATAGAACATATGGTGGAAAAGCAAATGAAGCTTGTTTTAGTAAATAAAGTTAATGGATAAAAAACAATCCCAATTTATTCCCCTAATATATATCATTATGATGGGAATATATGTATGTATGCATTTATGTAACCAGTTTTAATGTTCAACAATGTCATTGATATCACATTAAAAAGTTAATCTAGTTTTAATTTAACTCTAATTGATGATTTCGGAAACAAAATGTCAGTGTCACTGAGAAACAATCAAACTCGTGATCGGGCAGTCAGTAGCCATAATTCATAGTACAGTTTACAGACAACGAGATCATTTGATGATCTATATTTTCAACAAAACAATATCTAATTGAACTAATGTTCTCTATAAATCATTCAACTAAACACAATACTTCATTTTTCATCAGTATAATAATTGCTGTTAGTGATATCAGATACTTGGAAATCATCAACAGGAAAACTTGAACCTATAATTCGTGCTATTCGGTACTGGTCAGAAAGCAAGGGCCGATAAGTTGTAGGGAACCAATGCTCCCTGGTCTATTCGATCCCATATTACACAGATACATAGTCTGGGATGTTATGAGTAAGTTATTCGGACTGTGACTGATCTTCCGTGGGATTGAGATACAATTGATTGACCACTGAGTAGTGGCCGAGTTCACATTTATTTATACCTTTAGTGAATGGTTACTTTTAAAAATCTATGATGAGAATATTATTTAGAGAGATAATGAAAGTTTAATGATTAGACGATTTAATTAAAAAACATAACATTAAACAGTATTATAAGCAAAGATGGATGGTGGCTAGCAGTAGGATCCAGGACGCGCGTTTCATCCTATTTGGGACTCGTCAGCTGCCTCGCAAAGTCTTGAATTCCACTGATAGCCACCAACCATCTTTGCTTATAATGCTAATAACTTAAGGCAAAATCGAGATAATACGTACAGTATGCACATATGCTAATAAGAGACTTATCAATTGCAGTCCTAAACATCAATGGGAATATTCAAGCAAACAATACTAAGTGCATTAACCTTTATTGTTTTCTGATCAGGTAGTTCTTTTACGGGATTAACACTAATTGTTAGAAGCGTTTTCGATTGATGAGATAATCTAATCTGATGATGCTAAGACTTTCCTTATTCCAACTCTACTTCAGCTAGCAAGGCATGTTGATGTAAATAATGACAAGGTATACAAAATGTTTCTGACTAAAAATCAATGAAAATAGATTGATTGCTGAGTAACCCCTGTTACTTCAAACTATATACCAAGTCTAAACTTTGGTTAATTGATTATTTATCAACTGCAGAACGATAACTTGTAGAAATCGGTGATCTGACAGCTTTTTCTATCCTAATGTAATCGATCTTTTTTGGTGCTAGGATTATTGAGATTAGCATGACTTAATGAGATGAATAAACCAAACAATTACTTAAAGATCAAAATCTACAGAATACTGGACATATACGGGCCAAGTGAATGAATTATTCAGATCTTGTTGGAGCAGATGCATTTCCATTGAATTTTAAATACATTACTAACTCTACGCCTGTTTGCTCTCACTCTATCGGTTTCTCCTTTATTCTTATGGTTGCAAATTTTGAAAATGTAAAACAGTGTACCTTTATATAAGGTTTCACGGTGTCCTATCTATCTGTTTATCTATGTAACAATGTATTAAAAGTGCACAAGGGTAGAGTAATGGCTTAGCAAGTTAAGGACTTAGCTTTCAACCAATAGTTTGATTTCTGTTCTAGCTATCACTAACCATAGCACCATATGTTCACCACATAAATCTATACTCAAAAGATGAGCCACATTATTAATTATTATACAAGGAATGTAATATCTAAAGTATGACAACTACAAATTATATAGACTGGAATTTTTCGAAATCTTACCTGTTGTATTTGGTCTAGTGTAATCCCTGCAGCAATAGAAACCAAAAGTTTATCGTTTAAACGATCGGATAGACTTTTTAAAGCTGGTAGTAATATGTGTGGTTTAACGCAGGCGAACACGACATCACTTTTTTCAACCATTGGTTCATTTGTTTGTATATATTCTACTCCATATTTCTACTCGAAAAAGATGAGACAATTCAATAGCATAAGTAAACTGTTATCTACTAAGATTAATTTCGTCATCATGACGAAAGTTATCAACTGTCTACTGAATACATTAGGCTGGCGAAAATCAGTCCGGAATGCAACAGGCAATAGCTAGGATAAGTTAAACAAAAGTTGTCCACATCAAACAGTTCATTTGAATGAAAAGCGGGACATACGTTCTAAGACTGAAGAGCGATATATCCAGAAAATCCAGAAGAATTAAATGATGCAAGTGTGGGTAAGTTACGATCAGTGAATTATTCATATGACCAAAGTCATCAACCACATTTCCCTGTTCCGGTCACGCTGATTACCTACAAATAGTGACGATTTATATGTACTTAGATATCAACCTTTGATAACACGGTTTCCTACAGTCTTGTTTTTTTTCCTTTGTTTAGTTGGATTAGTCAACAGTCAGGAATGTCACTAACGGATGTATGGAAAATAAATCATACATCACAAAATAAACTAATTTTTTTTAAAGTCAGCTGTTCATTTTCTATATAAACAACTTAACCTCGAAATACCGTTACATTGTTTCTTTTTCATATTTATTAAAAAAAGCAACTAACAAAGAGACTGAAATGGAATATATCGTACTGCTTAACTTTTTTATAGAACTGAAATCTACCTAGTACGTTATTTTTAATAACGTATTTGTTGACTTATAGTTTACGATCTATGTCCATACAAGCATTGTGTAGTGAACCCTTCATGAATCAAAAGCTTCCCTCAAATAACATTAAATGATGGCACCCGGGCAGTATCACAGCCCACACACAAATAAATTGAAATGACAATAACTACTGGAAATACTATTTTTAATTCAATTAAAATTCAGATAACTGACATCCATTTGATAAATTTTATAGTTTTTATATATACGTCACTTTTCTACTCTTTTATTTCTACTCTAAGAAAACCACCTGCTTCGATCTGGACACCCGGGCAGTATCCCAGCCCTCACACAAATCGAAAGATTTATGTGGCGCATATCTATTTGGTGCCTCCTTGTACCAATGCTTATATGTTTAAATAAATAATTAAGAAATAACGTTCGCACACTAATGCAGATCGGACAACAGATAGGGTTGGCTATGTTTTTTGAAAGTCTTAATATCGACGTCTGCTGTCTATCCGAGACACGTATTTAAGACTCTAGTGAAGCACTACAAATTCGCTATCCATCTGTCGCTTCAAAAGGCTTGTTAACTGTTCTTCTCCGGAAAGTGCGTTTGACAGATATTGTAGTACTAGCCGGAGACTTGAATGCTCAGGTCGGGCGACTTAGACACAGAAGAGAGTCGTTTAGGTGGCCGATGGGGACTTGGTGGTAGCATGACAGATAACGGGGACCGTCTACTGCAACTGTGCACAGACCACAACCTGTTTCTGGCTAGCACTAACTCTCGGCACAATCATCGCCGATGTGCCACCTGGCGTCCTCCCTCTGCATAACAAGTCTGGACTCAGATTGATCACATCGCGATCAGCTACCGCTGGCGTGGTTGTGTACAAGACTGCCGCTCCTTTTGGAGTACCTATCCGGACTCTGACCATGCTTCGGTCTGCGCCAATCTTACCTTACTTTTCAGTGGACAACGAAGTGACCGCCATCAACGGATTGATATTAGCAAGCTGGTTGCAACTTCTGTTGCAAGTAAGTATCGAACCGAGCTAGTTTCTAGGCTAGCTACCATTCCCCCGAAAAGTATAGATGAGCATTGGTTGCAATTGCATGACACCATGAAAATGGAGAGTAAAGCTGTTTGCGGCTTTGCTAAACATCCCACTTTTAAGCACTGGGTTTCTTCAGGTTTCTCACAACTCATTGAAGCCCGTCGGCCTACTCCTGGTGACCGTGAGTTTGACCACAAAAGAAGGATGTTACGTAAGGAAATTGGGCAAAGCTTGCGTAAGGACCGAGAAGCCTGGTGGTCGGAGCGTGCTAATGATCTGGAAGCAGCAGCTGCATCTGGTAATTACCGGAAGCTCTTCCAACTCATCCGAGCCACTGGCAGCAAGAAGTCTGGTGTGGACAAAACAATTTGTGAACATGATAGGATGCCAATCAATAACATTTAGCAACGTCTTGGACGATAGACAGAATTTTTCGAGGAACAGTTTAACTGAACTGCTGCTCCAGCAACATCGATCAGACTGTCCTACCCTCCATGGCCGGTGACGACTGGTCCACCAGATGAGGAGGAAGTCCGCAAGGAACTCCAACTCTTGAAGCGTTACAAATCACCTGGCCCAGATGACTTACCTCCGGCTCTTTTTAAAGATGGTGGTGACTTTCTGACTAAGGAACTGACGGCGTTGTTTACAAAGGTCTGGGAGTTAGAGAGTGTACCAATGTCATGGGATGAGTCGATAGTTGTTTCTATCTTTAAAAAGGGTTCACGTCGTTCCTGTAACAACTATCGGGGGATAAGTCTACTTCCGATTGCGTCCAAGCTATTGACTTCCGTCATACTTCGTAGGTTGTTCAAAACCCGAGAAAGATTGACTCGCGAGGAGCAGGCTGGGTTTCATTCCGGTCGAGGATGTATTGATCATATCTTCACCCTCCGCCAAATGTTAGAACACCGCCATACTTATCAAAGGCAAACAATCGTAGTGTTTCTTGACATCAGGGCTGCCTTCGATTCGTTGGATAGGACTGTTCTCTGGGATTGTCTATTGAAGAAGGGTGTGCCTGAGAAGTTTATTAACATCCTAAAAGCCCTGTATAAAAACACCTCAGGTAGTGTGAGGGCACATACCCAACTCTCCCCATTCTTCCATTCAAGCAATGTGGTTAGACAGGGTTGCCCGATGTCACTATTCCTCTTCAACTTTGCCATCGATGACATTCTGGAAACAGCTCTGATGGATGTAAGTAATGGCGGTGTGGATCTGTTGCCTGGAGAAAGATTTCTCCACCTTGTGTATGCGGACGATATTGTCTTACTGTGCGATAATGCCCAAGGCATGCAATCCGCACTTAATCAGTTGGCAATCAGTGTCCGTATGTACGGTATGTGCTTTGCACCTACGAAGTGCAAAGTACTTTTACAAGACTGGCAGTATTCTAATCCTGTACTCACCCTGGATGGTGAGCAGATAGACGTAGTTGAGAAGTTCGTGTATCTGGGTAGATGCGTAAGTGTTGGTGGGGGTGTGAGTGATGAAATCAATGCACGTATAGTGAAAGCCAGAGCGGCTTATGCCATTCTGGGCCATCTTTGGCGCCTTCGTGATGTTAGTCTGGTTCTAAAAGGTCGGATCTACAACGCGTCGGTGAGAGCAGTTTTGCTCTATGCATGTGAAGCCTGGCCTCTCCGAGTTGAGGACGTTAGACGACTCTCTGTGTTCGATCATCGCTGTCTCCGAAGGATTGCTGACATTCAGTGGCAACACCATGTCAGTAATGCAGAGGTTCGGCATCGTGTGTTCGGGCACAGAGATGATAATGCAATCGATGTCACCATCTTGAAACACCGACTTCGGTGGCTTGGACATGTTCTCCGAATGTCGTCCCAGAGAATTCCACGTCGTGCATTATTTGCCGACTCTGGGACTGGTTGGAAGAAGCGGAGAGGTGGTCAGTGCATGACATGGTGTCGTGGCATGAAAGAAAGCTGCAAAGGACTGGCTTGTGTTGGTCCTTCACGACTCCCTGGTTGGGGTCCGAGAGATGGTGCTACACAGTGGCTAGAGACGTTATCAGATATGGCTCAGAATAGAAGCCAGTGGCGATCCTGCTGTAACCTTCTTTTACTTTCTTCATAAAAAGTGGTTGTGTCTCCCTTAACTGAAAGATTTCTTCTGATTGTACCTTTCCGTTCCCTCATTATTACTATTATTATTACTACACTACCTTACACCAACCTCTTCGTTATTGTTCTCTTTTTTTTCACACTCCTTACCTTTTTTTCTTTCTCTTCGAATTCTCATTGTTTTGTGTGGCGCATATATATTTGCGCTCTCTTGTACCAATATGTTGTTTATAGCGGATACTTAAAAATATCTTAACGCGTACTGTAACGTTTGACAAAGATAACAGTGTACAACCTCAACAATACCTACACCATGATTGATTTCACCTGTAATCAAAAATGTTCACCAACATATTCATAAGCTGGACACAATACACCCTTAGAAGACAAAGGTTTCGACCTTGATGAAGACTAATTTCTCTCTCAACGTTGATATTTTTTTACAAAAAAGTGCAAGAATCTTCACTTGCGTTTTCGCAAGAATTAACGTAATACACTGTGCAACAAGGTATTATGTAATTTAGCTCATTCCGAAAATACGTCAATCTACCAAAACAAGGATTAACGATCATTATACGTTCAAAAATTTACATACACACCATTTTTTAAATGCAACAAAAACATTATAATAATGGTTTTTCTTTAAAGAAAACCAAATGAAAGCAAAGCTACTAAAAAGCTGATGATCAAATCCTCCATAAAAATAAGACAATAACCACATGCTAATTAAAGATGAATAATCAAAGATTTGTTCATTCATATATTTGGTAATACAGCAATAAACAAAGAACTGAGATTCAGTTTACTTGTGTGATTGAAAAACGAAGGCAGAAAACTTTGTTTAATTTGATCAATACGATAAGTTATTTATGCTTTTTTTAAATATCAGATTAAAAAAGAAATAACGAAATCACCAGAAATCAATTGTTTGATAGAATGCGAAAAACAACTCTGATAGGAAAAAAATGATTTCGTGATAGTGTAATTATTGTCGAGCGTAATCATTTCAGTTCTGATTGGATTAGCTATAGATGTTACAGTTTCTTATCGAAAATCATGCAAATAAACCTTGAAGGTAATAAACAGTATAAACTGAACATACAATTCTATTTGGTAATAAAATGTATCAGAACGAAGATTGAAGAAATGATCACTCCCGGAACTATTTTATGGATTACTATTATTATTATTGTATAATCACTAAACGACTGAATTACAATGTTTATATATTCAGTTTGTCATAAGCTCTTGTTTAACCCATTAACTATACTACTTCTTATTCCTAATTTATTGCCAATGAATTATTTACAGCTAAACATATTCAAAGCGACTTCTGGCTTATTGATGATTCATTGTGATTTTTCAATTTATGGTGTGATGTGGTTCAGTATATTTGCATATAAACCTACGTGTGCTTGGAGATATTATTTAGTAGAAGCTGGCTGCTGAACACTCTTCAAACTCAAGATAAACGATATGGAAAAGCTTACAGATAACCACCAATAAAAGCTTAGTTCGGATGGGTTTTAAGGTTAACTATGCAGGTTAGGACATATAATTAGTCGTCTAAGGAATCAGCTTATGAACGGAATGGTAGACGTGAAATAGGAAATATTCAATTAAAATTCTGATTGGTGAATTAAACACGTAATACCGACCGGCGTTTCAAGTTATGACATAAAACATTCCCTCCTTTTTAATTTTAGCATCATGACAACATGGAAGAGACAGATATGTCTGATTCTACCTATGAAAACGGTTACCATAATGTTGCTTGGTAAGCATGAGAGGGAAGGATGTTTATTCTTAAGAGGTAACTACCCAGTCGTATTGGTAGATGATCAATTGTAAATGTTATGACAACTTTAACACTTGAACTAAACTATTTGAGTCACAGATTAGATTGTCTTTGGACGAAAACAGCTAACGTTAGTCGTAAAATCTTTAACTCTCTAATTCTTGATAATCGTTTTACTAAATACTATTTAAAAACTTTTAGTGCAATGAAATTATTTTTTTTTCTGACAATGTGCCTGTACGTGAATAACGATTCAATTATTTCAAATTACACAACTTGGCAACACCACATATTAGTGGAAGCCAGCCATCATTCTATAAGCGATAAATAACAACCTAAGAACGAAGTAAATTAGCTCAAAGTCTTGACAGTTATCTCAAATCATGGAACATATACCTGACACATGATACGAGTAAAAGGAGTACGGTGGTGTTAGATATAGATGTTTACGACACAACTTACATTTCAACACCAATTGCCAATACCATTTACAACTGTTTCGATAAAGTAACAATATTTTCGGGAGTAAAAGGTTTAAGCGCTGAGTTCCATGTCAAGGACAATCGACCACCTTAAAAACCAGTAGTTAGATCCTTAAAACAATGTGAATTTTAGCGTTAGCACATAAAAGCTTAATTATTGGTAAAATAGCAAACAATTACATTATTCTACTAACATAAAAGCAGTAGTTTGCAAATTTTTAGTAAAAATACTGGTATATAATCGCACCACGCCATTTCTAACTTACAGAACATAGAGCTTTCAGCGGTATCAGAAACTAAACAAATGTGCGTAGAAAACAAATATAGGTAATCAAAACAAACTAAGACAGTATTGAACTCAAATATTAAGCTATTGTTATGAGCAATCAAGGTTAACTACGCATGGCAATATATAAAAAGGATTAGAAATATTGATGTAAAGCCGACCATCTCCTAAGAGATGTCTTTACATCCGTTCATCGGTAATTAATGCTTGCTTTGCAAAGAAAGTAACAATGTTAATAGTTAGGTCTAAAGAAAACTCAAAAACAAAAACAGATCGCTTCGACTGAACACAGAACCATTAATTAATAAGGTTAGTATTTCTACTTACTTTAACAACAGTACACAAGCATTTACCATTTTTGGAAGGGATTATCATGTGCTTGATTTCTATAAGTCAACCTATTTCCCTAAACAGAATAAAAATCATTATTTAATCGATTTGTAGCGTAGTCACAGAATACAGTGGGAAAATCCCTTTAACTTTTTTTCAATTTACGCCTTACATAATACTCAGATTAAAGTTTGATATCAACAGGATCGATCGGTAGGAAGTAAGATATTCCCCAGTCAACTCTATCAAGATTTGCTTAGATAATGCAGTATAAAGCATAAAGAACTGTGGTAGATATATTGCACCAGAAATATATCAATTGAAGAATTAAGCAGTGTGAACCATTTGCATTCTTTTCTCGTCATTTATGACAACAATTAAACAGTGAACTAAAGATATAATGAATTCTTGTATATCATAGAACATAAACCAATATTATACCATATTTTGGATCTAATCACTAAATACATTTTTTAAATATTGTTAACAAAATACCTGTAAAACAATTATAACAAAGTGAAATGATGAAGACCAACGTACAATATACTCATACTAATTCACACTAACTCTGTGAACAGGTAACAGGTGAGTTTTAGTAACTGTAAGCCCTCAAATGTTTATATGGTAAATAACTTCAAATTGTGTTTGCTCGTTACCTATATTTTATAAGAAAAAAACTGGCAATTGTTTCGCTTTTTCTATAGGATTGATTCTTTTACAGTTTTAAGCAGACAAAGATCTTTCTAATAGTTACTGATGTATTTCAACATCTCAGCTGAATTCCCAGTAGTCACAGTAATTCACTAAAGAGGATTTGCAGTGATTCTTACTTTTTGACTGACATTTTCAGCATCTATTAAGAAGGTAATGAACATTACCAATAACCAATCGATAAAATCTAGTAAACAAGTATAGGTTTACCTACTCGTTTTCGGTCCACACTTTATGGCTGAGCATTAATGTTTCGAGCTGGTTGCTTGAACTAAACTAGATAAAAATAGATTACAACTTGTTATTTAGTGATGGAAAGTCGAGTGTTCTGACTAATGAGTATGTGCTTAACACATTTATCTTTATGCGAATGAGCATAAAAAATGAAGAGTTATTCACGGTAAGATGGACAGATCAAGCTGAGGAGAAATAGCAAGAAGAATCCTGTATTCTCTTGAGTAATGAAACCAAAACTCAAGAAGCAAATAAATGCTAGAAAAAGACCCTATTGACTGTTTTATCAAAATATTGAGGATTCAAACGATTATTGTTTTGAGAATTTATGTTGCACATTGTTGCGTCTATCACGTTTTCGATACTTTTAGGTTTCCCTTAATAGATTCCCTATAGCTGTATTGACAGAAAATTTCGATGAGACTATAACTTATAGACGACATTTGAGTGACGCCAAAGTGACCTTGAGAATGTCTACCTACTTACTAAGGGTAAATGAAGGTTGTAAATTAGTTTAAAGAATAAGGATTATGATTCACAGTTGATAGTTAGGAATTAGATTTATGATTTTTCATCACGAACTCACATTAGCTAAAGTGCCAAAACGCTATTTAGACAAATAGGTGGATGAATTTCGCGCCAAAATTCAAGACTTGTTATTCTAAATCTGATTGGTTCTTCCATAAATTATAGTCTCGCCAAAATCTTCGCTGATTTTCTACTTCATGAAGTCATATCATTAAGTATTTGCAATTGATTGATCACTGGATAGTGACCAGGGTCATGTGTGTCAAGTCCTTCTTAGTGCAAATCGAATTCTACTGATCAGATTGCAATGTAGGCATTGGGTTTGAGTCCGCCAGGGAGCATCAAACCCTTCAAGATTACAGGTACACCTTGCTAACAAGTGGCGAATAGCACGAAACCTAGGTCCAGGGTTTGCTATCGACTACCTCTAACCACTACCCTACATATAACTAAGTGTTGTACTTAACTGTTGTATGAACAGAACAAACAGCATTCCTCATTTTAGTTGGTACAGAAAATGGTCACTGGGAAAGTAAGCTGGAAATCGCTTGTTCGGGATCTTACCAGATTTGACAATCTATTACTACCTGGAGGCGTTCATTGTTACAATTCAACCTATTAACCAAAGGTATTAAAAATAGAATTAATGTTTGTAAGTATCTTCACTGTAAATAGTTCTTGAATAAAACATTAAATATGTACACATTTAGTTAACAAGTATCAGAAAGGGATGTAAAATAACTATCTGAAATCCACTATTAGTTAGTCTCGCGAAAAATAACACAAATTAAAACAAAGCATACTATTAAACCACATAAATAATAAGTTTAATAGTTTGTTTTGTTGAATTGAAACAATTTTATCAATGGAAATAAGCTATAAAATAAATTGGTCTACATCAAAAACACAAGTTATCTACACTTTAAGGATAAATTAATCTAACAAAGTGTTATCTTCAAAATATACAAGAATGATATTGTACACAAAGTATACCTCTGCATCTGGAAATGATAAACCATACCGATCAGTCATTGTAACTTGCGAACCAGTGATTACATCTGTAATTTCAGAAAAAAGAACATTACGAAAAATTATTGTACACAAAACTTATAACAGAGTACAAGGACTCGAAAATGTTACAAGTTTGTTATTAAAAAATCTGACGATGACTAGTAATAGAATCACTTTACAAAACACAAGTAGAAAAACCCTCTTAATCCAACGTATCAGCCATTACTTTATTTAATAGGATGTTTTATATTCCTCTTGTAAATTATGTGATCAGTGTAACTGAATACAAATATTTGAAGAAATGGGCACTTCGTACAAATTTACTGAGGAAAAATGTGACTAATATTATTTCTGAATTGATGAAATAACCTTTTATTCGTCTTATCTGTGTACTGTTAATTTTTCATGAGAAAACATTTTTAATCACAATTAATTAAAGTAACTTAGCAACTAAGTTCGTGTGCTCAGTGTTCGATCATATTCTGTGTGAGAGCTAGTGATTCTATCTAATTACCTAAATGAGGGTGGGGTAGGGTCTAAACCCATAACTTAGTAGTTGGTAGCCAATTGATTTTACGGTCAAACCACCAATCTACTTTAAATCATAAAACGATTAAACTCATAAGCAGTTGATGGGGTTCAAGTTTAAGGTTTGTTGGTAGTATTCAGCTTTTTCGTTTGTTTTAGTATACCATTTTGCCACCTTATTTCTATAAATACTGTAAATTTCATTATACACAAATAACTATACATCTGATCAATATTCTTCGGTCAATCTAATAAATAATTCTACTCAACATATAACTTCTCTTGCTGGAATGCCGAGGGCTAAGTAAGAAAATAAGGAAGATATCTCCCATTTGTGAACAATCATCACAACGTAGATCCTGGTACGTACGTACATCAGTTCGAGTTGTCATACCCCATTAGCACAGAGAAATGAAATTGTCAGATCAAATCTCAGAATAGTAAAGGCACCGAAGATATGACTCGAGAAAACATGAATTAGTGAAATGAAAATAAATAAAGGTTATGAGGAATTTAGAATCTAAGAGTTTGGAAAAAGACAAAGAACGAATTCACCTGCTCCATTACAAACGATTTTGAGTCATGTCATTCAAAGTATATGACTAATGGTTACGACAATCACGCCGATCCCAATCAGATAGTCTACATCTATTAGCACGTCTAAGTCCGATTGTCATTGACGTCATGGACTGATGACATATTTTGGTTTGGCCACCCCTAGCTTCCTTTCAACCAACTCCTACGCCACAAAAAGTCACCCGTCAAGTTAGGCGGTGGTTGGAAATACGTAAGATATGTCCCAAACACCTCAGTTGATGAAGATTTGCTACCTCTTCAATCGATTTGCCATCCTTAACTTAGACTTTATTCCTAGCCCAGGCACTGCTTACTCCGTGTTCCCAAAGTACACGAACGATGTTTCAAAGACACCTATGACTGGATACCAGTGACCTATGAATATTCTCTTCTGAATGGCCATGTTCCACACCCATAAGGTAGAACGGAGAGAACTGCTACACAGCAAACTCATCTATCGGTTGGCAGACGGATATGTTGCCTACACCACAAGTGACTCGACTCAGCCAAAGCCAGTCGAGCCTTCTGAATCTACGTTGAGATTTTGTCAAACACCAGACCATCAGCACTGACGAGACTCCCAAGATAAGTGGAGAAATCGATGCATCCAACTACTTCATTTCTTATCAACAGCTCATCCGATGATGCGACCCAATCCTGAAGTAACATTTTACATTTGGAGGGAGAGAACCGCATCCCAAACACGCTTCCATTGTTGCTTAAGGTGATCATAAAACTCTGCATTTAGTCACCGTCTTCACCAAACTAAACCAATTCATATGGCCTGATTACTTTGACAATCAGGACATCCAAAGTAAATATTTTCTAAACATACACACTTTGATCTTCGAACAAGAACAAAATACATAAAGTGCAAGAAAATAACCAGACAATATGAAATAGAGCATTCATAACTACTGGGAACAAACTAACAGTTCACAGTCAAGAAAACAGATGTTTTCGGAACAGACTCGGCAATTAGTCTAAAGGTTAATTTTATCTAAATATCGCATGTTAGTAATCTTATCCTCGTATGAAAGCAAAATAAACTATATCAAATAACCGAACAAAAAAGAAAATACAGAGCTTACAGAACTACGTTAAATTATTGATATGTAAAAAAAAACATAATAAAAGTAAATAAAAAAACGTACTTGAGGCTAGAAAACCTTTGACCAATGCTTGAGACATATTACCAGACCCCATAAAACCGTAATGTTTGGAAGCCAGAACAGTTTTTATATCAGCAGACATTGCTTTATGATTGCCCCAAAAACAAAATATGAAAAAAACTTTAAATATTTAGAAGATAATCGAAAATACAGAGCATAATATGTCGACATATATACTTTTAAAAGTTCTTCCACTATACAAAAGGACGATTAACATGTAAGACTTGCCATAACGTTTAGTATGAATAATATTTTTGAAGAGATTAGATTTTTTAACAATACAACAATTAAGCAACATCATGTGGATGAATGAATGGTCAAGCTATTCTGAAAACTGATTAACTACTAATAATCGCTAGTTTAATTAATTTAGCGTATATCGCCAAAGTGTGTGCATCAATCAAAAAAATGATTTATTTAATTATGTTTATCATATACATATATACGGATCAATAAACAAATCATGTTTTGCACGAATATGTATGGATATAAAGAAATCACTGTCCAAGGTCAATTGTACTTGGAATCAATGACATTTTTTATTGATGATACAATTAAATCATTGTATACATGCACACTGTTAAGTCACTACAAATAATGATACATAAAAATGAAATATTATTGATCGGGATAGCTATTTTTAGACTGACTGACTGTCTAACAAATCTATGATGTTGAAGAGTTTTGAGCACATTCTGCAAACGGATGTTCATCAACAGAATTTCGCTTCTATAAATTCTAATCCTGGTTGAGTACTTTAACCTAATGATGAGATGTTTATAGTCAGCTGTGATAAAATCAAGTCAATATTATTCTCGTTTCGTGATACAATCCTTCCAGTACAATTTTTTCCAATAAAGCTTAGTGTTCTGAACATATGTGAAGAATAGAAAGTCCTTTTAAAAATTTTATCCACAATGATTACGATCACTGTGAACCGCAAAGATTTTACTCAAAGTACATATCGCTCAAATTGTTTCATAAATAATTACCTATCCGTAAAGGTAAAAAAAACGTGATTCAATAAACATTTCAGGTCCATAGAGTACAAATTTTGTTAAGCGGTTATCATGACACATCGATAATGGCTAAAACGTCATTTTAAATCTAGAGATACTACGATCCTTTCCCACAATACCGACCAACCCAATGAGGACTATTGAAGTACCTTTAAATTTACTTTGGGAGCAACAAACTCCAAAACGTACACATTAATTTTAAAACTTCCGATTCTATTCCTAATGGTTGAAACAATGTCGATGTTTTATCTTAACCTTTAACTTTATTGTTCCACCAGATCATTTGTAGACGTTAGTAAACTGAATGAGTTCGTAAATAATGAAAACAAAAGATATAGAACGAAAGAGTAATTTATGAAGTCAAACAGTGGGCTGTCTTTGTTAACAGGAAAGCAAAACGATTTCAGTTGAAATATTTCCTATTTAGGATCTCAACCGTGAACTGGGAAACATTTCTTAATAGAGATACACAGAAAATGACTACATGCACCTTGTTAATCCCGATTTCCAGTTAGTACCCTTAAAAGATATATTTGCGATCACGTCGAATTTAGATAATGTCCTGAAAGCATCCTAAAGACAGGATTAATCCACAAAAACTGAACGAATGATAGTTTCAAAACCTTAAACATGGAAGACCTAGATGCTCTTCATTCACGAATAATATCAAGACTATCAGACATAATCATTTGGTTGTTGGGGATATTATTTTATGTGCCAGTGAACTGATCCAAACATTTGAGAGTGGAAGGATGCAATCACCCTTTAGTCTACGATACTGGGTGTAAATATATGATGAATATTGATCCTGTGAGTTATAACAGTGCAACTTTTGAGTTAGTACAGGCCATCCGCGTTGTTACTCAATGTAAAGTGAAATGGTGCAACCTCTTGGTCAAGCTTTATCATGGTCCGATTCTCCTCTGGTTGAATGACCCGACTTTTAGTCTTTGAGGGAGTAGTGAAACACACTGATCATAAATTAAAGACCACAGTTAATCACATCATTTGTTCAAAAGTGATTCGAGTCTTACTGTGTTTGGAAGACTAATAGCGACATTAACATGTTATTTAGTTTCACATCCAAGAGACGGGACCCCAGAAATTAGTTCATTTCCAAATATCCTATAACCACCTTGCAGTATGGTAACTAGAGTGATCATATTCGACTTATACCTTTTCTGTAGAAAACCTTGTAAGTTTCGGTCACTATTTTACAGTGACGTGACTTTATGTTTGTGCTCTGGAAACAGTACGGCTACTCCGCTATTATGTGGCTATATTTTTTGCTTGGAAGTATCCGTCTGATGGAGCTCATATACCGAGATCAAATGCTTGAAGGTACAAGGTTTGTTTCCCACAACGACATAGTCTTCTAACGGAATTTTCAATGAGAACCAATCTGTTAACGTTCTCAGTCTAAACATTTGTTTCCACGCCAATTCAAAAGTATAGTATAGGTCAGTCGACTTTCTATAATTTTTGCTTGGTAAGAGAAGCTAAGTAGAATTGCTCGGAATCAGTTACAGTGATCTAGTTGCGTCAATCCCTTGCTTTCCGCCAGCTTTAAAATTCAATACATTCCTAACTTCTCATCCTTCAGTCTTGCTTGTTCGTTCTGAACCGTAGTTCCTAGCCCTAGATATCCATGAAAGTTGAAACTAACTTCTTTTGTTTTTGATATTGATTTCCTACCCCCTCCTTTACTACGAGGTGTGAGTACTTGGATGCTCATCCTTGCTAGGTTTTCGGCTGATAAAGATCGACTGAATGTCATGTGTTACAAGTAGATATCCCATTTCGAGATGAATCTGTATCTGATTTACCAGGTGGTAAAAAGTGACTTGTTTGACTCGAAGCCGTAGAATTCGGTATTAAGATATCTTTTTGGTTACTGGTGTTCATCTTTGTTTGAGAACCAGAGGGTTTCGAATATGGATATAAACGGTAGATTTCCTGAGACTCTACTAACAGACACTTGTTAGAATCAGTAGTATCAATGTTTTGAACCGAGGTTATGTCATCTTTGGACATGGGATTTTTCGTTGGTTGTGTTAAATTTCGGTAATGTGTAAGTAGCATTATGGGTCTCCGAAATTAGATTGGAATATTACAAAAACTACGGGAAAATTGTGTAAACCACAGATATGAAGCTATTTAATTTCAGACCAATTTTGCACTGTTTCCCTACGTTCCCAACGGTTTTGTATTGAATTTGGATTTCCGGTCAGTTGCACTACATCGATCAGTTAAACTGACCTGTTTGCAAGCCAAAAGACAATTATATACTAAATAAACCCCAATTTATATTGTATTTATGAATTTGATCAGCAGTTGAACATGTGGTCAAATGATTAACCTATAGTACAGAAAACAGCAGAAATAAGTGAAACCCCAGGACGATTATCCAGAATTAATTATTTAAGATCTTGGATTGACAGGAAATAAATTAACGGAGATGAAAAGGATATACTATGGCAAGATATTTGGGACATACTGACTTTTAGTCTCCGTCAACATCTCGAGAAACAACTTCGCACAGTGCAATATTAAAGCTGGAAAAAATAACTCTTAGTCGATGTAGTTGAACTTTACGGACATTTTAAGAAAACTACAAGAAGATTTAAGCACTTTATGGGCAAGCTTTCCCACAACTTCAAAAACATCCTATTCACGCTCCAAATCTTGCTGTTCCGACTCAGTACAACCGGTCATACAATAGGCGAACGTGAAAATACCTATGCAATACACTATTTCGGCATCTTCACGCACCCAGCTCAAAACAGTACCGCAAGCCGACTGTAGGTCATTTGCACGATTGACCTTCAGAGTCGTGTATAAGGACAGAAGATCTACACCCTATGTAAATCGTTTCCTAGTAAGCTTATGTGAGTGTCCAGTCTTCGCTTTAAAAATGCAATTAAAGGTGGGGCCGCCACTGCTTCCAGCAACAGGTTCCAAGAATTGCTGACTCTGAGTGAGGACCTGTATGCCATGGGTATTTTGTTCTCTCTTGGCTTTTCCACTCTACTACTATGTCCTCTGACTTGTTCCAGTCTTGTAGGAAGAAAAAGAGAAGATATATTTGGTCCAAAATCATTACTTATCATACCATACATCTGTAGAGCCAATGGAATGCCACTGGACCCTAGCCAAATAATTCGACAGTTAGGTCACTCAATATCGAAAAATTCACGAATCCTAATCAAGTTCAAGGACAACCAACGCACTCTATTGACTGGCTCATGCGATTTTCATTGCAATCTCTTAGTTGTACCCACTTCTACTAATATATTTCTACAATAACGTCCTTAGTGTTGAAGATGCCACAGGTATTCGGAGTTTGACAACGCTTTAAAAGTAACACCGTCTAATACGAATCGCACCCACCAAGTGAAATCAAAGTCAGAAGCGAGGAGGTTCGAAGATATATTTGATAGGCTATCAATATATCGAGGATCGTCTGATCTAATCTAGCTAGCGATTGCAGGGGTTGTTGAGCACGGAGTTCACACTCGTGATCTGGTGCGGATACATGACCGAGCACCTTCAGCTAGGTGAGTCTAATAAAACTAATGTGGCCAGCATCCAATGTCGAAAACTTACAGAGCTATTTATTTTGGGGAATTGTTTACCGCTACAGTGCAATACGGTTTTCAGAGTAGCCATAGTACCTTGGTACGACGAAAGGGTAATCCAAGTTAGATACTGACTGCGAGGTGTGACTTCAAAGTTAGCTGGTTCGTCACACCGTCCTCGTCCGTCTCCAGTAGGCCCTCAGTCATTCAACTCAGGTCATCTGTGTTAGTGGTCTATGCATAAAAATCAGATCACCTCTTAATCTGTTCTAGGACTGAGTAATGAGATGTAGCTTTTCAGGCCCCTCTTTGTATAGTAAACCCCGGTGTTGTTGAATTTCATTGGTAGGTGCACTCTGTATTTTTTCCGGGATATCCGAGTCATCTTGTAAACAAAGGCTCGTGGCCTAAACAAAACTTACAAATTTAGATCTCACTTAGCTTGTGTATACTGTGATGAATATATTAGTATCTAACATCGTGAATGTCCGTCTTAAAGCCCACAGGGTTGTAGTGTGGCGTAGAGTCGCGATTGACTATGATCACCACTACAGGAAGACTACTTGCCAGTTAACCGATAAGATTCCCCGTAGACCAAATGTCAGAAGGCAGTTGATGGCTGTAGTCGAGATGTATTTGTTGGCGATCTCGTGGTATCGAAAGAAAGTCGAGATCGTGCCAAGGGAGTCCAAGTGTGGTTACTGAGCGTAACGAATTCGCGCAAGGTCACAAGAAACGGAAGAATATTTATTCTTAGTACATTTAGACTGTAGTTGCTGTGCTTCGATAACTAATCACC